CGTATGCACAAAGTACCTGTACCTGTACCACATTGTGGTAAAGGGTATAAAAATCCACGAATTTTATACGACCCTAAAATAAGTCCATTAATAAGACCACGAATTTTATTGGACCCTAAAATAAGTCCACGAATTTTATAGGACCCTAAAAAGTCCGTAAATAAGTCCAAAAATTTTATAGGATTCTGGAGTAAGTCCATTAATAAGTCCACGAATTTTATTGGACCCTAAAATAAGTCCATTAATAAGTCCACGAATTTTATTGGACCCTAAAATAAGTCCATTAATAAGTCCACGAATTTTATTGGACCCTAAAATAAGTCCACGAATTTTATAGGACCCTAAAAAAGTCCGTTAATAAGTCCAAAAATTTTATAGGATTCTGGAGTAAGTCCATTAATAAGTCCACGAATTTTATAGAACCCTAAAATAAGTCCACGAATTTTATAGGACCCTAAAATAAATCCACGAATTTTATAGGACCCTAAAATAAGACCATTAATAAGTCCACGAATTTTATAGAACCCTAAAATAAGTCTATTAGTAAGTCCACGATTTTTAGAGGACCCTAAAATAAGTCCACGAATTTTATTGGACCCTAAACTAAGTCCATTAACAAATCCACTAATTTTATAGGACCCTAAAAAAGTCAATTAGTAAGTCCACGAATTTTATAGGACCCTAAAATAAGTCCATTAATAAGTCCACGAATTTTATTGGACCCTAAAATAAATCCACGAATTTTATAGGACCCTAAAATAAGTCCATTAATAAGTCCACGAATTTTAGAGGACCCTAAAATAAGTTCATTAATAAGTTTACGAATTTTATAGGACCCTAAAATAAGTCCACGAATTTGTTAGGACCCTATAATAAGTCCACGGGTTTTTTAGGACCCTAAAATAAGTTCATTAATAAGTCCACTAATTTCATTGGACCCTAAACTAAGTCCACGAATTTTATAGGACCCTAAAATAAGTCCATTAATAAGTCCACGAATTTTATTGGACCCTAAACTAAGTCCATTAACAAATCCACTAATTTTATAGGACCCTAAAAAAGTCAATTAGTAAGTCCACGAATTTTATAGGACCCTAAAATAAGTCCACGAATTTTATAGGACCCGTAAATAAGTCCATTAATAAGTCCGCTAATTTTATAGAATGAGTCCATTAATAAGTCCACGAATTTTAGAGGACCCTAAAATAAGTCCATTAATAAGTCCACGAATTTTATAGGACCCTAAAATAAGTCCACGAATTTTATACGACCCTAAAATAAGTTCATTAATAAGTCTACGAATTTTATAGGACCCTAAAATAAACCCATTAATAAGTCCACCAATTTTATTGGACCCTAAAATAAGTCCACGAATTTTATAGGACCCTAAAATAAGTCCAAGAAATTTAAAGGACCCAAAAATAAGTCCATTAATAAGTCCACGAATTTTATAGGACCCTGAAATAAGTCCATTAATAAATCCATTAATAAGTCCACGAATTTTATAGAACCCTAAAATAAGTTCATTAATAAGTCCACGAATTTTATTGGACCCTAAAAATAACTTTTAAAAATCCACGCCTTGTGTAGGACTCTTAAAAAATATTTTTGAAAATCCACCCCTTGTGTAGGAGCCTTGAAAATATTTTTAAAAAAACCCTTTGAAAAATTTTTTAAAACACCAGTGAGCGGAGCAGTATAGTCGGACGCGGCCGACCATACGATACCCTACACAACTACCACAGAACTCTACCTTTCTGCGGATTTTTATTCCGAACCCGGGCAATATTTCGTGATAGTTTCACCCTCTTGTCCGATTAGAGGCAGAGGTGCTGCCTTACACTGACATATTTTCCAAATATTACTAATATTCAGTACAGCCCTTTTAACTACTTGTCCAGATTCCCATCTCCGTGGTTTGTGTTGTGATGTTCGGCTTAAAATTGTGGCATATAAATCTACTCGAAAAAAACAAACAAAAAGTTAAGTTTTCAATCCACATCACCCCAAAATTATTATCTGATCATCACTGAAAATTATGGGCATTGTCCTTGACCATAACTGGAATATCATGGAACATTTCAAAGCGATCAGCGCTATATTTCCGCCCTCTAGTGTGGTAATGGTTTATTAAATAATATCTGAATTCGTATGCACCTGTAAATATTTAAGTGTAACTCCCAAGTCCGAGTACATACGACCATATAATTGGTATCAATTTAAAGGTCAATCACTCCTCTTCGATATACTATCAACTTCTCGGGTCTATGTCCTTCAGGAGTAAATATATTTCCATTGAACATAAATTTTGCAATTTTTCACACATTTGACTCCCTAAATATTGACCGATCTTTAACAAAGCAGCACGCTTATTCTTTGGCCCAATCCCATTCTCCATGTAAAATTTTACGATCTTCGGACCGCAATTGCGGCATCTGGAACGACCAGAATTTCAGACAAAAATAAAGTTTTTGGTCCATTTCATCCCCTAAATATTAACCAACGATTACCAAAAACAATAGGGGTCTTCGTTGGCCACAACCCATCCTACATGCAAAATTTCGTCCATAACTGTGGCCTGTATCGTGTTTACAAATTATAATGGACAGACGGAGGGACACACATGTCTAGATCGACTCAGCTAGTCGGGATATGATATGATATGATCGGTATACTTAAAGGTGGGTTTAGGACCAATATTTCGCGGCGTTACAAACTCTTGGGTCTGCACAAAGCTATAATACCCTGACAACATAGTTGTGTAGGGTATAAAAATTATTTAAACCAGTAAGGAAAGTAGTAAAGTCGGACGGGGCCGACTATATGATACCCTTCACCACTATGGGTATATTAAACAGGACTATTAGCATGAAATTTGATGAAATAAAATATGTGATATTTATCTAAATGTGAATCTACCTAGATCTATCCATATAGTATGTAAATCGACTTCAAACAAATATAAATAGGTCATCCGTTGGGCTATGTCTGTACTTCTAGAAAACGCAACTATATAATTTTATGCTCAATTTTGTACGATGTGCAAACCTTTATGTCAATCTGACTAACATGAGGAGTTCGATGCCCAATTTACTTGAAATCGGGCGAAAATATATATGGTGCGTCAATTACTTAAAATCAGTCTATAATAAAAGGGGCTATATCTATCTATATCTGGACCGATTTTCACGAAACTTGGCAGACATCATTCTAGACCTAAATGATTAGGCTGTACCAAATTTCGTGCAAATCGAAAGATATATAGGGACTTTGGGGCACCATTTACATGAAATCGGACGAAAATATATATGGGAGATATGTCTAAATCAGGACCGATTTTCATGAAACTTGGCCGACATAATGCTAGGCTCAATTAAGTACGTTATGCCAAATTTCGTGCAAATCGAAGGATATATAGGGACTTTGGTGCACCATTTACATGAAATCGGACGAAACTATATATGGGAGCTATATCTAAATCTGGACCGATTTTCTCGAAAGTTGGCAGACATCATTCTAGGCTCAATTCAGTACGTTATGCCAAATTTCGTGCAAATCGAAAGATATATGGGGACTTTGGGGCACCATTTACATGAAATCGGACGAAACTATATATGGGAGCTATATCTACATCTGGACCGATTTTCGCGAAACTGGGCAGACATCATTCTAGCCTCAATGCAGTACGTTATGCCAAATTTCGTGCAAATCGAAAGATATATGGGGACTTTGGGGCACCATTTACATGAAATCGGACCTATATCTAAATCTGGACCGATTTTCATTGAGACATCACTCTAGGCTTAATTCAGTATGTTATGCCATATTTCGTGCAAATCAAAAGATACATAGGGACTTTGGGGCACCATTTACATGAAATCGGACGAAATTATATATGGGAGCTATGTCTAAATATGGACCGATTTTTACGAAACTTGGCAGACATCATTCTAGACCTAAATGATTAGGATGTACCAAATTTCGTGCAAATCGAGAGATATATAGGGACCGTTTACATTAAATCGGTTAAATATATATATATATATATGGGAGCTATATCTAAATCTGAACCGATTTTTCCCAATTTCAATAGGGTGTGTCCTTGGGCCGAATAAGTGACCTATGCCAAATTTCATTCAATTCGGATCATAAATGCGACCTGTACTTTGTTTACAATTTAACATGGTCAGACAGACAGACGGACGGACGGACATACATAAATCGACTTAGAAAGTGATTCTATGTATATTCTCAAAAGGAACCATGTGTCTATCTCGATTATTTTTGCCTGTTACAAACATAGGCACAAAGACATAATACCCTGTACCACAGTGTGGTGAAGGGTATAAAAATCCACGCATTGTGTAGGTCATTGAAAATTTTTTTTAAAAAAAAATATTTTTTTTATAAAAAAAAATAATTAAATCAAAAAAAAATTTCCTTACATCCACCCTAATATTGTTGTTATGTTATTTACATCATTTGCAATAAAAATCGTGTTTGATTAATTACCGGCCTGACACTTGTCACGGAAGTTACGCTAACGTTCCAAGCTACGCTCTAAAAGCTGCGGCTATAATTAGTCTTACCCCTAATGAGAGAACGTCTTTTGTTTGAAATGAGAGCGAAGAAAATTGAAGATGCACTCCAAAAACAATGTGTTAGTTTTCTTATCTCTAGTTGGGCCAGAGATTTAATAAACGTCAGAACGGCAACAAAAACAACAACAACATCCGCAACAACAACCATTTAAAATAATTGGAAATTATAAATATAATTAAAGATTTTGGAGGGATTTAAAAACAGTTGAGGCCATTAAACGGTGGCGTTAAGACAGATTTTGTTTTCGAGAGCGGGATATTTTAAATTCATTGTTGTTGTTTTTGTTGTAAAATATGTTTTATAAATTAATTGTTGTTGTAATATATTTACAATATCTAAATGGCGTGAAAACTTCCCCAGCTGCCGCTCGGAAGCCTAACTGGCTTAACGAAATCGAAATGTCCGTGGATCACGAGGTGCAGCCCTGTGACAACTTCTATGCCTATAGCTGTAATAATTGGATCGAACATCATTCGAATGTAAATTATGCCGAAAGTACCAGTCTCGTGGAGTATAGCATGAATCGGAAATTAATTAATTTATTCGAATCGGCTGGGAGGGTGATAATTGAGGAAGGTGGTGGTGGAGGTGGAGAAGGACTGCAACCTTTTACCACCAAGGCGATTATTTATTATGAATCCTGTTTAAGAGAAAAAGAGAGAAATCTTACAAAATATTTTGAGGTCATCAAACCGGGTGAAAATCTCGACTGGCCTATTTTGGAGCAGCTTCGGCAACATCACAGAGGTATTGAGGATTATCGCCCGGAAAGTGATTGGTCCCATGGGGATTTTGATCTGTTTGCCTTGTTGGGTAAATTACAAAGTTATGGCCTTAATAATCTGCTGATCTATCAGGAGGTGTCTCGTGGTTCCGGGGGCTCAGTGCAGATTATATTCGAAAAACCACGATTAGATATGGCGGAAAATTCGCAAGATGAAGAGGCAAACACTGAATTCACCTTATTTTATTATTTCCTAAAACGTTCGGGTATGCCTGCGCAGCAGGCCCAGGGTTATATGAAAAAACTCAAAAGGACCCAACAGCATTGGCATCAAGTCTATCGGAATTATTCCATTGCAGAGGACGCAGAAAATCCCGTCCGTACCTTGACATTTGAAAAGCTGCAACAGCTGTTTCCCAAATTGGCGAGGTTTTTGGAAAATCTCCTCGACACTCCGTTGGCGGTGGATACCATGGTGGCCATTTATAATTTGGAATATTTTCAATATCTAGTCGAACGGCAATTGTCTGCGGAAAATTCTCAAAATCTATGTAATTATCTGATGATGAAATTCCTGGTCTATCTTTTCAAAGATGCCACCGATGATTTTACAAAGCAGCAGTGCCTGCGGGATTTGCGAAATAAAATGGATGTGGCTGTGAACTACCTGTATCATCAGTATATTATTAAACACGAAGTTGCGGAATATTATGATGACGTGGCCTATATCCTTCATAAGATATATGAATATTTTATGCAGACCCTAGAGGAGAATTCTCTCAATCTCATCGAGCCACAAATGCAGCTACTCAAATTAAAGCTAAACACCTTGAGGGTAAATTTTGGTAACCTACCTCAACAGATTATCTATCCCCAATACGGGTCTAATAATGCCAACAACAAACCCCAACTAAATCCCCAGGAAATTGAAAATTTCTATCACAACCTACCCCAAATGGATCCGCACAGTTACTACCGCAATCACCTGGCGCTACTTAAACATCGTTTTTGGCGCACACAGCTCTATGAGCCCAGCTATAGCTTTTACATTGCCACCGATAACACCATCGGCAGCAGTTCCACACCCATCTATTATGCCCGGCAAAATATGGTGATCCTCTTTCCAGGATTTTTGCAGGATCCCATTTACAACCTCCGCATGGATCCCCTAAGCAAATGGTCTCTACTCGCCTTTATTTTGGCCCATGAATTTACCCATGCCATTGATACGTCGGGCATGTATTTTGATCCTGATGGCTCGCTACGCCAATCCGATTTGGGTATACAGGATGCAAAGAATTTTACCCAGTCCCTGGAATGTTTACAACAACAGCTGGCCACAGATACTATAGATGAACGACTGGCCGATTTAATGGGTGCCCGGGTGGTGTTCAATGCCTACATCAAGGAATATAATTGGACAACAGGATCAGACGACACGTCAGTGGATTGGCGTCGGCTATTCTTCATAAATATGTCACAATTTTTTTGTGGCGCCCAAGGTATACAATTTCGTGATCATGATTCCGATGCGGATCGTGTCCATCAAATTGTCATGAATATACCCGCATTTGCAGAGGCTTTTGAATGTGGGACGGGTTCGAAAATGAATCCGGCGAAAAAGTGTAGGGTATTTTAAACAAAATTTATTTTTTTTTATAAGAAATTTATATTTAAATAAAAAAAATAAAATAAAATAAAATATTTTTTCAAAGATTACCAGCAGGCGTGGATTTTTTATAATTATTTTGTCAAGGCCTCGACATAGGTGTGGATAGGCGTGGATTTTTATACCCAACCCAACTATGTTGTCATGGTATTATAGCTTTGTGCCGACCCAAAAGTTTGTAACGCCGCGAAATATTGTCTCGACTAGCTGAGTCGATCTAGACATGTGTGTCAGTCCGTCCGTCCGTCTGTCTGTATATTATAATTTGCAAACACGATACAGGCCACAGCTATGGACCAACCTTCACGAAATTTTGCTTGTAGAATGGGTTCTGGCCAATAAAGACCCCTATTGTTATTGGTAAAGATCGGTTAATAGTTAGGGGATGAAATGGACCAAAAACTTTATTTCTGTCCGATTTTCTGGTCGTTCCAGACGCTGAAAAGGGCTGTACCGAATATTAATAATATTTGGAAAATATGTCAGGGCAAGGCAGCACCTCTGCCTCTAATCGGGTAAGAGGGTGGAAATATCACGAAATATTGTCCAGGCACGAAATAAACATCCGCATAAAGTTAGTGTTCCGTGGTAGTTGTGGAGGGTAACGTATGGTCAGCCCGTCCTACTGTACTACTCCGCTCACTGGTTTAAAAATTTTATTTTTTAGGCCTCAACATAGGCTTGGATTTTTGTTTTTATACCCTACACAACTATGTTGTGCAGCCCCAAAAGTTTGTAACGCCGCGAAATATTGGTCCTAGATCCACCTTTAGTATACCGATCGTCATATCTCGACTAGCTGAGTCGATCTAGACATGTGTGTCCTTCCGTCCGTCCGTCTGTCCATTATAATTTGTAAACACGATACAGGCCACAGTTATGGACCAATCTTCACGAAATTTTGCATGTAGGATGGGTTATGACCAATGAAGACCCCTATTGTTTCTGACAATCGTCGGTTAATATTTAGGGGATGAAATGGACCAAATACTAAATTTTTGTCGGTTTTTCTGGTCGCTCCAGAGGCCGCATCAATGGTCCGAACATCGTGAAATTTTGCATGAGGAAGCGGATCGGGCCAAAGAATAAGCATGCCTGTTTGGAGAAAGATCGGTCAATATTTAGCGGGTCAAATGGACCCTGACTTTTGTGTGAAAAAATGACAAACTTTGTATTCTATGGCGTATATATTTGCCCCTGAAGGACATATACCGGAGAAGTTGATATTATATCCAAGAGGAGTGGTTGACCTCTAAATTAAGACCACTTATATTGTTGTATGTGCTCGGATGTGAGAGTTACGCCTAAATATTTACAGGTATCTCCGTATTCGTATATTATTTAGTAACACATTATCACTCTGGAGAGCGGAACTATAGCGCTGATCGCTTTGACATGTTTCATGAGGTTCCAGTTATGGTCAAGGACAACGCCTATAATTTTCGGTGATGATCAGATAATAATTTTGGAATGAAGTGGACCGAAAACTTATTTTTTTGGGTTATTTTAGAGTCGATCTATAGACCTCAAATGAAAGCCGAACATCACAACACACGGTGAAGGGAATCTGGACAATAGCTGTACTGAATACGTGTAATATTCGGAAAATATGTCAGTGTGAGGAAGAGGTGCTGTTTACCTCTAATCGGGCAAGAGGGTGCAAATATCACGAAATATTGCCCAGTCTCGGAATAAACATCCGGAGACAATTTGAGTTCCGTGGTAGTTGTGTAGGTATCGTATGGTCGGTCCCGTCCGACTATACTGCACCGCTCACTGGTTTTAATATTTTTTCAAGGGCTTTAATTTTTATACCCTTCACCACACTGTGGTACAGGGGTAGACACATGGTTCCTTTGAGAATATACACAGAATCACTCTCTGAGTCGATTTATGCATGTTCGTCCGTCCGTGTATAGATGTTAAATTGTAAACAAAGTACAGGTCGCATTATGATCCGATTTGGATGAAATTTGGCACAAGTCACTTATTTGGCCCAAGGACGAACTCTATTGAAATTGGTGAAAATCGGTTCAGATTTAGATATAGCTCCCATATATATTTTCGTCCGATATAGGCACCAAAGTCTCTATATATCTTTCGATTTGACGAAATTTGGCATAGCGTACTGAATTAAGTCTATAACGATGTATGAATGATGTGATTTAGATATAGCTCACATATATATTTTCGTCCGATTTTAAGTAAATGGTGCACCAAAGTCCGTATATATCTTACTATTTGCATGTAGATTTCGATATAGCTCCCATATATATATTTTCGTCCGATCCGATTTAATGTAAATGTATACCAAAGTCCTTATATATCCTTCGATTTGCATGAAATTTGGCATAGCATACTGAATTAAGTCCAGAATGATGTCGGTTCAGATTTAGATATAGCTCCCATATATATTTTCGTCCGATATAGGCACCAAAGCCCCTATATATCTTTCGATATCCTTCGCACTGAATTATGCCTAGAATGATGTGTTTTAAATTTCGTGAAGATCGGTTCAGATTTCGATATAGCTCCCATATATATTTTCGTCCGATTTAAAGTAAATGGTGCACCAAAGTCCCTATATATCCTTCGATTTGCACGAAATTTGGCACATCGCACTGAATTAAGCCTAGAAGGATGTGTTTTAAATTTCGTGAAGATCGGTTCAGAATAAGATATAGCTCCCATATACATTTTCGTCCGATTTTAGGTTAATGGTGCACCAAAGTCCCTATATATCTTTCGATTTGCACGAATTTTGGCATAGCGTACTGAATGGAGTCTAGAATGATGTATGCAAAATTTCGTGAAAATCGGTCCAGATTCAGATATAGCTCCCGTATATATTTTCGTCCGATTTTATGGATATTGTGCACCAATGTCCCTATATATCATTCGATTTACACGAAATTTGGCATAGCGTACTGAATTAAGTCTAGAATGACGTGTGCCAAGTTTCGAGAAAATCGGTCCAGATTCAGATATAGCTCCCGTATATATTTTCGTCCGATTTGAAGTAAATAGTGCACCAAAGTCCCTAAATATCCTTCGATTTGCACAAAATTTGGCATATCGCACTGAATTGAGTCTGAAATGATGAGTGGTAAGTTTCGGGAAAATCGGTTCAAATATAGATATAGCTACCATATATTTTCGTCCGATTTAATGTAAATGGTGTACCATATATATCATATATCTTTCCCTTGCACGAATCACGAATATCTTTCGATTGGCACGAAATTTGGCATAGCGTAATTAATTAGGTCTAGAATGATGTGTGTTAAGTTTCTGCAAATCGGTCAAGATTTAGATATAGCTCCCATATATATTTTCTTCCGATTTTTAGCAAATAGTGCTCCAAAGAGTCAAATTTAGTCCGATTGGCACAATATTTTGCACAACGTACTGTAGTTGGTGTAGCCTAACGTGTGCCAAGTTTTATTGAAATCGGTTCAGATTTAGATATAGCTCCCATATATATATATTTTCTTCCGATTTTTAGCAAATGGGGCACCAAAGAGTCAAATTTAGTCCAATTGGGACGAAATTTTGCACAACGAACTGAAGTTATGATAGCCTAAAGTGTTACAAGTTTTATTGAAATTGGTTTAGATTTAGATATAGCGCCCATCCGCTTTTTAGCAAATTGTGCACCAAAGAATTTAAGGTAGCACTAAATAATGATCTGTTGATTGTGGATGAACTGGAGATTATAACTTCAACAGTGCTGTGTGTTGTAGCATCATGAATAGTTTTATTTAAATCGATTTACATAATTTTCTAAACGAATCTAAATCTGCCCTAATTACATGTACTTTGGCATAGCTTACCGAGTGTGTGTGTGTGGATTGATGTACCAAAGAAGAATCCATTGAACCAAATTTCACCGAATGCGGATGAAAAGCACGCTCATGGTTCTTAAATTTTGCCTAAATTTGGTACAATGGGTTCTCATTGGGTATAAAAGGGGGTTTATATCCAATTAGAACCCATTGTACCAAATTTAGGCGAAATTTAAGAACCCGAAATTGGGGGGTACCCTTAGATGCCTATGCGTGGGCCGATATGGCTCATCTTTGAACTTGACCTACCTGCAGACAAAAGACAACTCTATGTTGTCGTTTAGAGGCTAGACTGATCAAAAATATGTATTTTATAGGGTTGGAAGTGACACAGATTATATATGTATAGACACAGATTATATATAGACATATATAGACACAGATTATATATGTAAAGTAGTCCACTCTCATGTCAATGGTCCTTCAAAAAATGCGAGCTCTGTTAGGCTGCATCTGTTGAATATAGCCAAAGTGTTGAAGGGTATCATATAGTCAGCCCAGTCCGACTTTACTACTTTCCTTACTGGTTATATAGCTACTGTTGAATATAGCCAAAGTGTTGAAGGGTATCATATAGTCGGTCCCGTCCGACTTTACTACTTTCCTTACTGGTTAAAAATAATATTTTTGTAATTTTACCATTTTTAACTAACACAATTTATTAAAGTTTTAAAATCGTATCATTTTTGTTTAAATAACATACAACACATATTTATTTCATACGGAACTGAATCCTAGAAAAAATAATATTTATTTATTGCTTTGCAGTTTACCCATCTGCAATGAATTTTTCGAACAACAACAATAACATTTGTTTTTTGTATAAAAAAATAAAAAACGAAAAAACTATTTTTCACTTTTACAACCCTACCTAGCTGGTGAATTGAACTTTGAACAGCAATAATTCATAACAAAACGCATAAAACTTTAGACGAAACTGAAGAGGAGCTGGGATGGCGGGAGAGCTGGGCTCACCATTTTATGGAAGGTAACAACGGATGTTTTCGAGGATGATGATATGGAACGACGAAGAAAAAGTTTAGATTATATTGGCGACATTTAAGTTTTCTACCGAAGCAATTTGTTTGCCAATAATAAAAAACTACATATTTTTTAAGAGGTACC